AAAAAAAAAAAAATGTCGAAAGTGAAGAAGTTCGGTTCAAGCATGAAAGGGTAAATTCTTCATAGAACCCCCATTTGAAAAAAAAATGGAGAAGGAGAAGAAAACTCTTTGCATTATAAAGTTCTGATAAACATAATTTTCCCCCAAAAAAATAAATTCGAGTAAAAATAATATTAATGGACAAAAGTAAGTATATTTGCCCAATTTACAATAATTCATAGAGGTTCTTTTTTTAGTGTTCAAGATTCCTATTGTTGAGCGCTTTTTTCCTTAGAGATCGAGATTTTTGCCATCTTTATAGGCCAGTCAAATTTATTATTATTCGAGAATTTGCAGTTGGATCCATAGAAGTTTTCCGAAAAGGAAGAAGTTTCCTCAGCAATTTAGAGTTCTCAGTTTTAATTGGCAAATGAGCAGGAACGGGGCTACTTTGAGATCATTGGGCATATGACAAAGTAGCAACCGGAAGAGGAAGGAAGCTAACAGAACAAGGATATTCAGCTGATGAAGAAAGCCCATAGAGACCACAGCTGCATGCAAAATTATTGTTTAATTTTTATTGTTTAAAAAAAAATGGAAGATGGAAAAGGAGAAGGAGAAGGAGAAGGAGAAGAAAACTCTTTGCATTATTTAAGTTCTTATAAACATAATTTTCCCCAAAAAAAATAAATTTGAGCAAAAATAATAGTAATTGGCAAAAGTAAGTATATTTGCCCAATTTACAATAATTCATTGAGGTTCTTTTTTTAGTGTTCGAGATTCCTATTTTTGAGCTATTTTTCTCGAGATTGAGATTTCTGCCATCTTTATAGGCCAGTCAAATTTATTATTATTCCAGAATTTGCATTGGATCCATAGAAGTTTTCCGAAAAGGAAGAAGTTTCCTCAGCAATTTAGAGTTCTCAATTTTAATTGGCAAATGAGCATGAATAGGGCTACTTTGAGATCATTGGGCATATGACAAAGTAGCAACCGGAAGAGGAAGGAAGCTAAAGGAACAAGGATATTCAGCTGCTCGTAGAGACCACTGCTGCATGCAAAATTATTGTTTAATTTTTATCCACAAGGAAGAACATTCTTCTAGAAGAGGTTTATATCATAATTTTGTATCACATCAGAATTTATAATGTTGTTTAGAACAAGTAGCCTGTGCAAGGTCTGACTGACACCAGAGAAATATAAAGCTAGTGGTACATAATTTTTTGTACCTAAAGATGTATATCCCCTCACATGGGGGGCCCATTCGAATAAAATATTCGAGTGGGTCCCCCACCCATGTGAGGAGGTGGTACACCATTATGTACCTCTAGCAAAACCGACCAGAGAAAGGGAAAATTAAGTGACGACAAAGAGAGAAAATTCAATTTCCACATAATCTATGGATAGTATAGAGTTACAACTATCATGGGATATAAACTCATTCTTTCAAAAACTCACCCGATTTTCCCCTATTAATATGGAACACGAACATGATCATTATGCTCGACTCTACAAAATTAAAGAAGATATGTTTGTTTCGTTGTACTAATTTACTAGTTGATGCTGCACAATCTTAGTTCGGTCATTTCAAGCAATAGAAATTTCAGTCTTCGAAACTGATTAATAACCAATTAGCATCCACCAATTTCAAACAGCTTTAGTACAATTTTACGTGTCCAAAATATATATTTCTTCTTGATTCCGGCAAGAGTAATGCTAACTTCTGTTTCGTACTTCCATTTTCTTCAAGGTTCACCCAAACTATCACAATCAAAAAAGACTGATACGAAGTCTATTCATGGAAGGGGTTAAAGAATTGAAAAAAATGGGAGATAGCAACAAGGAAAAGAGAGAAAAAAAATAACTACATCTTCATTCCCTCGAACCTTATTCCAACACTCCAGTTGTTCCCTATGGTTTATCGAATTCAGAGGCTTGGCATTATATGCTTTAACTGATGGCAGCACATAATTACCAAAGGAAGTTCCCAAGCTGTCATAGTTGTTTTTTTACTCATTAAGCCTTAGTACTCTGTACTTCTTACATCTGGTATGCTGTGACTAGCCGTGTTCGGTGATCTCAAAGTCTATTCAAGAACTTTTCAAAACAATTGATAAGTCTCCTGGAGGGGAACGCGAAAGCTTAATTGTTACAATAAAATAAAACTAAGTTAAAAAACCTAATCAGTTAGGTACACTAATTCACTGATTTACTTTTAAGTGGGCTTCAGATTTCTAAGTTCTCTCAGCTACAGCAAGCTTGTCCCGCAGTTGCTGAATCTGAAAAAATGAAAACCAGTCCTTAAATAACCTCTTTCAATTTCAGGATTCTCTGTATGTCAAACACACCCGCACCTCTCAGTTTTAGGATTCTCAAAAGGGGACTCAGATCAGTAAATTCCCACCAATCACAACAGTAACTATTAAACGGAAAAAACCCATATTTAATGTGTTGAATCGCTCAAGTCTCAAATCAATGAATTCCCACCTTCACATGTCTCCGCTTCTCAAAAAAATTGGAGTCCACTAATTGAAATAATGAGGTACCAATTAAAAGAACAACCAATTGTTAAACAATGAGAAACGGCAGCATTGATTAAAGAGGTATAATACGTACTCAATCTAACCAAGAAGTGTAAACATGAACAAATAAAACAAAGTGGTTCGATTGTTTAAACGAACCTTACTCGATGCGATCAAAGCCTCGTTGCCGACCTTTTGCAGTGAATGCCCTGGAAGCAGTGATTCGTTTGGGTGTTTGGTTTGTTCTTTCTGGTTCCGTTGTGTTTGTTAACGAGAGATGGTAATGGTTTTATACATGGGTAGAGACGAGAGAGATAAATTAGAATTTTGGAAAGTTTGAATTACCTACCAAATAAAATTTAGGAGTGGAGGCACCATTATGTATAAAAAATTATGTACCAGAAGCATTATTTTAAAATTTAACTTCTCCTAAATAGAATATTTTTCGTATTTTTGAGGAAGCATTGTTACACGATCAAAATTAGAGAAATATTTTCTATAATAAAAAAATCAGTCAAATATCTCAAAATAGAAACTTGGATAAAAAATAAATTTTCTATAAAAGAAATATTGTCAATTAAACTCATACTCAAAGAAATATGAAGTTTCAACCATAAAACAAAAAAACGTAGACGGGTGGATTTGCAACTAGAGTCCCTATAAATTCACAATAATAGCACTTGAGACACCATATATTCACTAAAATATCAATTGAGTCCCCAGTAAAATTATTTTCATTTTAAATTGGGAAATAGCAGCCAAGGTACCAAATATTTCGTTTATTAGCAAATTTTGTCCAAACCTTTCATTTGTGCCACCGTAGATACCAAACCTTCAAATTATTCCCAGTTCAAATCCAGATTGACAGTTTTCGTTAGTTTGACGATCTCCTTCTTCAAATTTTCCCACTCCCCTTACCCCAAACTAAAAACCACCTACACCCAGTTGCTTGCAGTCGGCACCACCGCGACCACCTCTCTCTATCCACCTTCTCCAAACAAGTCAGGTGGACTCTTTCCACTCCCCACTTCCTTTTGAATCACCCCTCACCTCCAATGATTCATATTTTCAAACAGAAAATGCCAATGTTAATTTTATTAGTAAGAATAACAATTCCTCTGAAGCTATGGATAAATACTACTATGCTGTTCCATCGCCACAGAATCTTATTTTAGAGGCAGTGTCTTCGATTTTTGGGGGCAAGGAACGGAAGCTATGGCCCCTTGATGTGATCCAAGTTGCGCCTCGAATTATGAGATATTTGATGAATGTTGTTGAGAGATCTAGGCTAAGATTCGCGCTAAGTTTGGCGCCAATTGGGGTGATAAAGTCGATGAATTTCCTAATCAACCTATGGAATTCAAAACAATTGAAGTTGGCGAGGCAATGGTCGAGATTCAAAGGAGTAAAATTGACATTCTAAATGACGAATTCGGAACTTCGAATGAAGGTGATATAGTTGGCTAAGTGGTTGATCAAGTCATGGAGTCCAAAATCTGGGAATTAGCATGCCAAGAAACAAGTTATATGAAGGGCTCAAGAGGCGAGATGAATTGGTGCAGCTTGGTTCGAGTCGGGAGCAATGTGGCAGATTTTAAGGCTATGCAACCGCATAGCCTAAAACTACATGCGGTCGCGAACACAGGGTCAGGGAATTACCAGGCAGTTGGAGTTTCTTCTATGCGACCGCATAGAATTACTCTATCTGGCCGCATAGATATATTTCAAGGCAGAATTTTCCAAATTCACGCGAGAGTTCTAATTATGGTAGAATTCCTTTTTATTTGATATTTTCGTAATCTTAGGAGTTTATTTACGTTTTTAATTATTTTCTAGGACTTTGTTTCCATCTTTAATTATTTCCTAGTTTTAGTATAAATAGGAATTTTCTTCGGGACCATACTACATGAACATTAAGGGCTACATCGGGGGCTACATAATGGACATGCGTGCCGAGGCACCTGCCGCACCTTGGGTCCACAAGTGCCTTGCCAATCGCGAGGCACTAAATGTTCATTATGTAGCCCCCGATGTAGCCGATTATGTTCATCTAGCATTTTCCTTTTCTTCATTATTGTAACAACTCTGACATTATGACTTATTGAATGGAGATTTTCCTCTCAAAGCTTTCCTTCAAAATAATTCTTGTTTATTATTGAATGGGCCGAACTTATCAAGACTAATCATCTTGGGGCATTCAAAACATCGGGTTGGATCTTTGGATTATGTAATCAAGGGGTCTTTCAAGTATCGTTCTTACTAGATTTTTTGGTTCATAATTTTATTGGTTCAAGTCCACAAATCTTGGTATAATTTTGAGGCTTCGTGATCAAGAGGTCGTTGGTTTAATATCCCTTTGATTGCTTGGTTCGTCGATTAGAGATTATGATGCGAACCCGACCAGTAAGGTTGCAATCGAATCCATAGGATATTGAATCGGATCTCAAGAACGCCCAAATAATGACCAAGGTTTAGGATCTAATCCCCAAACGTTGAACCAAGCAACCGGAGGTATATGAAACCCACGACCTCTTGATCACAAAGCCTAGAAATTATACCTGAATTTGTGGATTTGAATTCCAAAACAATAAACAAAAAAACCCAGCAAGAATGTTGCTTGAAAGACTTCTTGATTACACATGTTGTAATTCGCACCCATTGTTTTGAATGCCACAAGATTATTAGTCTTGATAAGTCCGCTCCATTTAATTAATGAACAAGATAATTTTGAAGCAATGTTTTGAGAGAATTCTCTAATATTTCATGATAAAAGTATTGCTTACAATGAAGATAAAAATCCTATTTATACTAGAAATATAGGAAATAATTAAAAAGGAATTATAATTCGAAAACCTATTTTTAACAGAAATAAAATACTAAATTATGGTAAAACCCATGATTAAGAATCCTAGAATATAAATAAAAGGAATAAAATAATAGTTTCCTAATTGCAAAAGGAAACAATTTCTAAGGGATTGCAGAATTGTCGGCCATAGAATCTTATCACATTTGTTAACTTGCTTGAAAAGCAAGTCTTTGTTCCCCGTTAATGAGATGCGACCGCATAGTGTGATTTGTTGCTAGAGGTGGACGCGGGTCGGTTCGGTTCAATTCTAAAGAAAATCAAATCGAATTAAAATTTTCAAGTATTTAGTAAATGAAATCGTCGGGTTCAAATATAATTATGGAACCGTTCGGGTTCGGTTCCGTACTATAATTAAATTTTTTAACATTTATAACAACATTATATAAATACAACTAATGACACATTCAATGATTTTGAAATGTCAAAAACCAGTAGACTACATTGTTCAAATGATCGCTACGGTCAAAGTTTCGATCGGTGGAGGTCACAGTGTCGGCCGACGATTGTATAGGTTTTGGAATGTTAGCGAGGCTGCGAGATTGAGTGCGAGAGTCGAGATAACGTTATGCACTTTAGTTAGGTATTTAGGATTATTTAGTGGGTTAGATCTTTGTTGGGCTAAAAAATGAAACAATAAAATGAGAATTGGACCAAAAATTAAAAAATTAGAAATGAAACAAATTATTGGGCCAAAAATTTGGATTTAAAAATTATTAATTTGTTTTAAAAAAATTAAAATTAAAATAATTTGATTTATTCAATATAAAAAAAATTAGAAAGATTCGGTTCTTCGGTTATAGGTCTAGAACCGAGAACCGAACCATACTCGTCGGTTCTCAATTCAGATACGTGTTCGGATATTTAATTTGACAAGAACCATCGGGTTCGGTTCGATTCAGTTCGGATCCTGTTCGATTCGGGAGATTTGCCCTACCCTATTTGTTACGGTTGCATAGATGATTTCTTGCTGTTTTATTAACATTTTTTTTTTATAGAAAACATTTTTCTACTTTTGGTTAAGTGATCATATTTTCTTCAAAATCGAAGAAAATATTTTCTTTAAGGAGATTATGATTTTATTTCCAGGGAATATACTCCCTCTTTCTCTCTCTTATTTATCTCTTCTTTCTTATCTATAATATCACTTTACTTTAGAAAAATACAAAGTTATTTGAAAAAAAGTTTATTAAAAAAAAATGAAAAGTTATTTAAAATATGGTTTTTAAAATAAAACAATAACTTACTTAAAAAACACACACACACACACACACAAATTACCTAGAAAAGTAAAGTAAAATAAAAACTTGTTTTAAAAACACATTTTAAAAGATCAATTTCACAAATGGTCACTGAATTTACGGAAATATGATAAAACGGTCACTGAAATTTAAAATTTTCAGTAACGATCACTCAATTTCTAGGATGCTTTTAGAAACGGTCACTAAAGCTTAAAAACTTTCAGAAATGATAACTGAAATTGAAAATCACTTTTTTCAATTTTTTGGACTACTTTTGCGATAACTTTTCGGCTACTTCCAACCATTGATACTGTCAAATTTTGATACCGTTGCAAAGTACACAACATCCTCTTCAATTGCCATCCAAAATCTCCTCATAACTCTAAGAGATTCGATTGAAAAATCGCCGCAAAAATCGCCCAAAAAATTCTTAAAATCTGCCTAGATTTTCATATTTTTGGGCGATTTTTGCGGCGATTTTTCGATGACACCGCCAAATTTTGATACCGTTCGAAAGCTGACAATATCCTCTTTAATTACCATTCAAAATCTCCCCCAAAGTCCAAAGGATTCGGCCGAAATAAATCCACAAAGTCGGCATCCCAAAAGACAAAAATCTGGGAAGATTTTTTGAGCTACTTTTGACGAAATTTTACGGCAGCTTCCGACCACCAATATCGTCGGAGTTTGATACCGTTGGAAAGCTCACAATGTCCTCTTCAATTATCATGAAAAATCTCCCCAAACTCCAAATGATTTGGCCGGAATGAACCTACAAAATTTGCTACCCGAAAAGACGAAAACCTGCCTAGATTTTTCAATTTTTTTTACGACTTTTCGGCAACTTCTGACCACCATGACTGCCAGATTTTGGTACCATTGGAAACTTTTCGGCAACTTCTGACCACCATAACTGCCAGATTTTGGTACCATTGGAAAGCTCACAATCTCCTCTTCAATTTCCACCCAAAATCTCCCCATAACTTCAAAGGATTTGGTCGGAATAAACCACAAAGTCAACATCCCGAATCTGTCCAGATTTTTGCCTTTTTGAGATGCCGATTGTGAGTTTATTCCGGTCGATTCATTTGGAGTTTGGGAGAGATTTTGGATGGTAATTAAAGAGGACATTGTGGGCTTTTCAACGGTATCAAAATTTGGCGATTTTGATAGTCGAAATTTGTCAAAAAATCACCGCAAAAGTCCCCTAAAAAATTTGAAAATCTGGGGAGGTTTTTGACTTTTCAAGTAGCCAAATTTGTGGGTTTATTCCGGCCGAATCTTTTGGAATTTGGGGGAGATTTTTTGTAAGAATTGAAGAGGACATTGTAGGCTTTCCAACGATATCAAAATCCGATAGTGTCGATGGTCGGAAGTAGTCAAAAAGTTACCGTAAAAGTAGCTCAAAAATTTTTAAATTTCAGTGACCGTTTCTGAAAGTTTTTAAACTTCAGTGACCCGTTTTAAAAGCGTCCTAAAACTTGAGTGACCATTGCTGAAAGTTTTAAATTCAGTGACCGTTTTGTAATTTTCACATAAGTTTAGTGACCCTTTGTGAAATTAACTCCATTTTATAAATAAAATAAAAACTTAATTAAAAAATTATTTTTAAAAAAAGTTCCTTAACAATTGTGAAGAAAACAATTAGTGGGTATGGAAATTGTTATAATGTATAGTATCAATGGTGAGGTATGATGGAAACGTGGTAAAGAAGAAAATGGATTGAAAGTAAATTTTCTTATTCAATCCATATTCTTCTTTACCAAATTTCCATCATATCTCACCATTGTTACCATGCATTATAACAATTTTTTTCTTCATATCTTATCACATAACTACATCAAAGTAATTTAAGCTTAAGCCTCAAATGCTAATTGTTTTCTTTCTTTCCATGTCTACATATATAAATATAATAGTGACCCTATTTCCATAACCATTATCATGATGATATTGACAACTATTATACCAAGTTATTTTCTATTCATACTCACTTCTTCTTTACTACATTTTCCCCCAAATGTATTTTATACAATTTTTAATAATGCAAGCTAAGTAAACTAAAACTCAATATATCTTGAATTGGTTTATGAATTTTAAAATTTCCAAAGTTAAGATTTTGAAATAGAAAAATTATAATTTATCTAATTACTTAAAATAAATAAATAAATAATTATCTAAATAAATATTTAACTAAATTTTTTTTCAAAGTAATTAACTTAAAGAAAATACATGCCTTAAGGAGTGAGAATGATATGAGACAAGGTATGACAAATCTCACAACTATCCCTTATTTATAGTTTTTGTTAGGGGTTAATTGTACAATTTCATAAATTGCATATCTAACCCCTAGGATAATGTGCTATCATTTGATTGGGTTTTAAAATTACATCTTTAGACCTTGGACCACATATGCAATTATTTCTTTGTTTATAAAATTGCACATTTAACCCTTGGGCAAATATGCAATTATAAAATTATATTTTCAATCCCCATAATATTATTTTAATTACAATCCCTAATAACATTTATTCTATCATTAAATTAAATCCCTAAAATTAAAAACAAACTCTCTAAAATATTAAAAAATCTTTACTATAAAATTTTGGAATGTTACATTATCCTCTACTTAAAGAAATTTCGTCCTTGAAATTTAAAACTTACCAAATAATTTCGGATATTTAATCTTCATATCTTCCTCCCATTCCCATGATGCTTCTTCTGAAATTTGATTTCTCCACAAAACTTTGACAAGTGGAATACGTTTATTTCGTAATTGTTTGACCTCTCAGAGTAAAATTTTTACTGGTCTTTCTTCATAGGTTAAATTAGTTTCCAGATCCATTGGGTTATCCGGTAATATATGTGAAGCATCAGGAATATACTTTCGAAGAGTAGAGACATGAAACACATTGTGAATTCGATCCATTGAAGCTTGTAAGTTCAACTTATAGGCTACTTCGCCAATTCATTCCAAAATTTCAAATGGCCCAATATATCTAGGACTAAGTTTTCCTTTTTTCCCAAATCTAAATACCTTTTTTATTGGTGCAACTTTCAGGAACACTGTCTTCGACTGTGAGTTCTAATGGTCTTCTTCGTCTACCAGCATACTTCTTTTGATGACCCTGAGCAGTAGCAAGGCATTGGCGAATGTTTTTTACTGTATCAACCATATCTCACACTAATTCTGGCCCTAAAACTCGTTTCTCTCCGATTTCATCCCAATGTATAGGCGATCTATACTTGCAGCCATATAAAAGGCTATGCTATGGGTACAAAGCCGTGTCCAAGATACACGGCACCTCGGCCAATGCTGAGGTGCCTGCCATGTCGGGGCCCACAAGCTCCTTGGCCAATACCAAGGTGCTGAGTGTCCATTTTGGACACCCTTTTGGACCCGATTTTCTACCACAAGCATTATTCCCATATAAAACCTCAAAAGGAGCCATTCCAATTGAAGATTGATAACTATTGTTATAGGTGAATTCTATCAAAGGCAAATACCTATTCCATTTTCTCGAAAAATCTAAAGTACAAGCACGTAACATATCTTCTAATATTTGGATGGTTCATTCCGACTGGCCGTCTGTTTGAGGATGAAATGTTGTACTAAAGGAGAGTCGAGTAACTAAAGTTTGGTGTAACCCTTTCCAGAATGCTGATAAGAATTGAGGATCTCGATCAGATACTATTGATGTTGGAATACCACTAGACATACAATTTCTTGTACATATAATTAAGCATATTGTTCCAAGGTAAAAAGTGGTTCGAATAGGTAAAAAGTGTGCCAACTTATATCGGGATGTGAAAATAGTAGGTACCCAAGGAATAACTTTTGCAACTATTGCAGAGCAAGCATCAGAAGTGGAGCAAGCAGAGAATCGCATTACTGGAGCACGAGAGCAGCATCGTTCTAATTTCCTTAAACGGCCTCATTGGCAGAGAGACGACAATTCAAATAATGTAAAGAGGGGACTTCCTTCTAGGAAAGGACCTAGAAATAATGTCCAGCCTTCAAATGATAATTCTGGAAAGAAGCTATGTCCCGATAGTAAACTAGTGGGTAGTGCGATATGCCCAAGTGTAACAAGATTCACACTGGCACGTGTATTACTTGCTATAACTGTGGTAAACAAGGACACATTTCACGTGTTTGCACGGAAAAACTCAAGAACACTGGAAATCGTGCTATTGCCAGGGTTTATGCACTGAATGAAAGTACTTCGGACGACGCTTCAAAAGTCATTGCTGGTAAGCTTTCTATTGCTGGAACTTTTACTTATGCTTTATTTGATTTTGGATCTCCTCATTCTTTTATATCTATTAGCATGTTTAGAAGGACTCATTTGCTAACTGATAGTTTGAAGTCTGAGTTAGAGGTACTCATTCCATTAGGCCAAACATTATGAACTAAAGAAATAATAAATAATTGTGAGGTGATGATTAACCATCATTCTCTTCCTACAAACCTTATTCTTTTGAATATGAGAGATTATGATGTCATATTGGGTATGGATTGGCTATCGAAGTATCAAGCCAATCTAGATTGTTCAAGGAAAATCATTACTTTTCGTTTATCTAATGGGGAATTAGTAGCCTTCCAAGGATTGGTTAAACCTTTGTCTACTCTGTTTGTATCAGCTATTAAGAGCGTGGAATATGATATGACAAGGTGGTGAAGGTTATGTGGTCCGTGTCCATAATGCTGAAATCAATCCAGAAATCTCTTTAGATAAAATCCCAGTAGTTCGAGAATTTCCTGATGTTTTCCCTAAAAAGCTGTCTGGACTACCACCTGATCAAGAAATTGAGTTTACCATCGATCTAATTCCTGGCACTCGTCCAATATCAAAACCTGATATCGTATGGCACCTACAGAGCTCAAAGAGTTAAAACTACAATTGCAAGAATTGCTAGATCAGGGATTCATTCGACCAAGTTTCTTTCCTTTTGGTGCTTCAGTCTTGTTTGTTAAGAAAAAGGATGGAACAATGAGAATGTGTATTGACTACCGAGAACTAAATAAAGTAACAATAAAAAACAAATACCCTCTCCCAAGGATAGATGATTTGTTTGACCAACTTCAATGTGCCACAATATTCTCCAAGATTGATCTTCGTTCAGGATATCATCAATTAAAGATTAAAGATGAAGATATACCGAAAACCGCTTTTAGTACCAGATATGGGCATTATAAATTTTTGGTCATGCCATTTGGTTTAACTAATGCTCCTACTGCTTTTATGGACTTAATGAATCGAGTGTTCAAGGAATATTTAGATAAACTCATTATTGTTTTTATTGATAATATTCTTATTTACTCTATGAGTGAAATGGAACATGTTCACGAAATAATTCTTTCGATTTAAAACCTTCGCAAGTGTACAAGTCGTTAACAAGTAATAAAGTGGATCAATTGAGTTCGAATATCGTCCCACAGAGATTGATTAGTTCAATTTTACCTATCGTAGCCTTAACTGAAACTAAATTACTCAATATGAATGTGAATTTAATTAAACCCTAAAATTAGAAAGAAAACCCTAATTATGCAATTTTTATGATTGAAATGAAATTAATATGAAAAACAATATTTTAACACTCTAGAATGAAATCAAATGTTGAGAACGCAAGTTTGTAGTATTCAATGAAAATTAAGCGCACTAGGATCACGATTTCTTATGCAATTTTCACTTTAAACCCTAATTTCACAATATGACAACACACTTAAATTGTTGACGAATTAATGCTCCTAAATTTATCCAATACTCTCTCTCGATATGTATCGAACCTATTTTTACATACAACCAACCTATATTTCTATGACAAGTGTATATATAAAAATACATGTGATTTTGTGAACACTTAAAGATTCACATAGGGTATAGCAGTATATTTCTATCCCTATCGAACCCTACGATGATTTATATTATGTCGAACATATTCCATTTCTCTCGAATGCAAGAATAAGCCACCTAAACTTACACATTTACAAGCCCTTAATTGCGGAAACAATAATTGCATATAAATTATTCAAAACAATCAAAACATGTTTTTAATGTCAAATTGTAAAACTAAAAAATTAAAGATCAAATTACATGGCACATCGATCTCCTAGTACCTGAAAACCTAGTCTAACATAGATAAAAATATAAGAATACATCAGATTTTGAAGAAAAAAAATCACCGGGTTATGAATTCTTGAGAAATCTTGAGAATCTTTGTGCAATTCTTCGTTACTTGCACTCAAAATCCTCTTCAAGATGTAGTTTCTTGTCTCCCAATGCGTTCTTCTCTTTCTGGACGATTTTTGGCATTTATATCGCGTGAAAATTAGGTTACCATCAGAATTTCAGACGTACAAGGAAACTAAAAAAAATCGCGTCGGGGGTTGGAGGAGGAAGTAGTGTAAAGGTAAAGGTTTGGGATATCACCTGACAAAATGAAAGGTTTGAATAATTCTTGCTAAGTTTTGAAAAATTAGGGACAGCTACTATTCTCCCTAACTTTTATTTGAATCCATTTAAATATTTTTTTAGAACTTTAATTTATAATCAATAAAAGCTTAAACTAATCTTATTTTTTATAATTTTTTTTAAAATTTTTAAAATTTATTTTTCAGAATTTTATACTTTTATATTTATATTTTTTTTATAAAATTTATTTTTTATTTTAAATCTTTCTTAGAAATTCTATTTAAAAATTTTTTTTTAGATTTTCTATTTTTAGATAATAAAATTTATTTTAAACGCATAGGGTTCATTTGTTTTGCGTTTAAGTTTTCGATTTTTAGTTTTTATTTCATTTTTAATTTTCTATTTTGATGGTCTGTTTTAAGCTCCTGTTGACCCTTTTCTTTGGAGAAATGATTTTTTGAAAAATGTGTGGTTAAAAGATTAAGAAAACTTTTCAATTTATGTATAAAAATATTTTATTGAAGAATTTATGGTTGGAAACGAGTTTTGAAAAAAACGAAACCTAAACAAGAGCTAAGGTTGTTGATTACATATTTGATTTATTATTCTAAATAACTATTTCTTAAAATGAAAAATTGAAAAACACTTTTGATTTGAAATTTAAAAAAAAAAAAAAAAAAGGAGCATATTTTATACCATGAAATTTGAATCTAACCATATTTTTTCACGGCAAGGGTAAAAAACGAATAATAATTAAGTTGGCCAAACATAGGATACAAAAAATAATAATAATAATTTGGATCAATAATTTTATTTGTATTCAATTAAATATTTTTTTAGAAGTTTAATTTAAATAACTAATAAGATCTTGAACTAAATCTATTTTTCCTTTTTATTTATAATTTCATTATTCTAGAATTTTTTAGGCACAAAAATAGAGTGAAAATTGAAAGTTGTCATAAAATAGGTGTACTTCTTATTCATCCGGAGTAGACCCTAGGGCTGGACAAAATCGACCAAACCGAACTCGACGGTTCTGCTCAAGTCAAATACTCGAATGGATATTTAAATCAGGAACCGACAGGTATGGTTCGGTTCTCAATTCTAGGCCAAGACCCGAAAAATCGAATAAGAGCCGAATCTCCCTAATTTTTTTAATTAATTTATTTTAAATAAGCAAAATTATTTTATTTTTTCTAAATAAATTTGTTAACTAGTCAATTTAGTTCAAACCACAAAATATAATTTTCCTATTTCTAATTTCAGTTCAAAATCAACTTAATCAAGTTGACCTCAATTTTATTCAAATCTATTACTCTACTGTAGTGTCATTTTTACTGGAGAAAATTGAATTAAAACTCTACAACATCTCCATTAATTATTTTGAGCTCGCTATCTTTCTCTTTATATGATTTTAATGCTCAAATTTATAATGAATTCAACAAAGAGAGACGTAAAATGCATAAGATTGAACTACGTTATTTTGTAAAAGTTAATTGAACATATCATTAATTAGATTAACGTAATTTTGTATATATTAAAAAATTTAATTATAATACGGAACCGAACCCAAACGGTTCCATAATTAAATTTGGACCCGATAATTCCACTTACTAAATACCCGAAAAATTAGGGTCGGTTCAGTTCTTGTTAAAACCAAACCGGACTATGTTCAACCCTACTTGACCCCATAAATTTTTTCAAGAAATATTAGATTTTAGAGTTCTATTTTTATTTTTAAAAAATTTTGGAATCTATTT